TTTTGGTTCCCCAGTATAACTTATAATAAAAATGTGATCCATTAAAATCCTTATTTTTTTCAATTTATTAAAATGTTTGGGTATCTTTTTCAAGGACTAAATTTCCTAGAATGAATTCCTTCTTATTTGCAATTTCATGAATTCAATAATGCAAAATTTCTCCAAAAGGAATTTAGCCATATGAGCATACAAAGATAAATGTGTAATCCTCATACACTTTGAAGTGAGGTAAAATTTTGTTGAATATTTTAAATATACATAATAGTAATTTCCTTATGCCATTTTTTTCTTATCACAGCAGATGACTTTCACTATGAACACTTCCACTTTTTATTTCATTTCTTAGCCATCCTTACAAGAAACTGGGATAGCTAAGGGCACACTATGTTGCTATATACTGCTATGAACTGTTCTTCGATTCAGACAGTGGAGTGAAGATGTTTGATACAACTGGCTTTGATATAATATTTTTTCTCTCAGTTCCACCATTTTGCTTTAGATATTATTTATGGAGTATAAATCAAATATTTCCACATCTCTTTCTCTTTTTTTTTCTTAGTCATGTCCTCCAAGAATTAAGTCACATCATTGCAACATTAAGATTTCAATCCAGGGTAGGGAGTGATCTGTTTTGATAACACAGCCATAATATTTCAGGGAAATAATACCATGTAAAGCTTCCATCACAAAAATCATACTTGTGGAAGATTTTTTAAAATCAAGACAGGAACAATAGGTACAATAAAACATATAGCTATCAGGAGACACTGAGGGATGCTAAGACTAGTTGCCAAGATAACTCACTATAAAACTCAACAGTTTTAAGCATTCTACCACATTAATTGAACAAAAGTGAACAAATATGAATTATTCCATGTACTTTTATTACTATGAAAAAAATAATACACTGTTTTTATCTGGCCAAAGAACTTTAGATACTTGGACTAAGAGATACATGGGAATGTCAACGAATTTTAATTGTAATCATATATGTGTGATGGTTTTGATAGGCCAAATTTAAAAGAAAAATATAAATATATAAAACTTAAGAAATTAATGGTAGTATAACACTGTATCATACTTATCGAGTATTGGCTTATGACTAGTATGAGCCTAAATATATAGTACATATGTTGCTTCTATTAAAATAGAAAAATATGAAAACTACCTTTACTCAACATTTGCTTTATGCCACATACTTGTTAGTTCAACCTATCTGATATAGATTTACATGTACTCTGAAAGGGAAATGTAGAGACTAAGAAAAAACTACTCAGTTTTCAGCTGTTCTCATGAAAGTATATTTCAGATCAGATAGTTGTTAACTCCAAAACACCTCCTAAACTAGACTTTCACAAACAATCCATAGTGAAAGACTGTATTCTTATAATTCTAAAATCTTATAAATCAAAGCTTTTGAAATACAATAAAGTGAATACTTAAAATTTTGTAAAATATAAAAAAATCCAACTCCAAAAATTTTATTTTTAAATTTAACATACAAAATTACTTTGTCAGATTGTTAAAAATTTTTGAAGTGCTTTTCCTCAATCTTACGCTTAGTGCTATGCACTAATAAAGAATCCATGGATTAGCCTGGTCAACAAACCATAATCAGAGTAGGCAGCCAATATATTACCAAACAAGAACCTATTGGTATTAGTATTTCTTAAAGAAATTATTGTTTCTGTTTTTGTGGAGCTTTTGTTTGTTTGTTTGTTTTTGCAATGCTAGGGATCAAACCTGGGCCTTCAGCACACTGGGCAAGTATTCTACCACTGAGCTACATAACACCCCAAACCCCTTAGAGAAATTTTTTAGAGCTAACAAGAATCATAACCAAATGGAAAATATGCATTAATGTAATGAAATATTTCACCACTTAAAATATGAAGATGTCCACATCTAAGCCCTGAAACTATTAGTGTATTACCTTAATCATCAAAAGGGACTTTACAGAAGTGATTAAAGTGTAAAGATAGTGAGAGTACACTGGAATACATGGGTGACTCCAAAGTTATCTCAAGATCTTCATAAGAGAGAGACAGTGAAGAGTCAGAGAAGGAGGTCTGACAATAGAAGCTGAAGTCAGAGAGAGAGAGAGAGAGAGAGAGAGAGAGAGAGAGAGAGAGAGAGAGAGAAAATCATCTAGGGGTGCTGTGCTGCTGGCTCTGTGGAGGAAGGAGATGGACGAAGAAGGAGGAAGGTGCTGCAAAAAGGATGCAGGTGGTTTCCAGGCACAGAAAACAGCAAAAACTAGATGATCCTGTAGAGCCTCCTTAAGAAATACAGCCCTACAAAAGCCTTAATTTGGGGGGACTTCTCACTCTTGGAACTATGAGATAATAAATTTATATTGTTTTCAGCTGCTAAATATAACAATGATAACTTGTTATAGCAGCAATTAGAAACTAAAATATTTTTGAAGCTAGAAAGTGGGAATCTCATGGTAATAAATACCATTTTAGGTATTTTAGTAGAAGGTAGCTGTTGTATTAGTAAGGGGCAAAGGCTAGAAGAATTTTGAAAAGCATGATAGAAAAATTCTAGATTTCCCCAGATTGTTTTAAAAAAATATGGATGTTAAATGCTTGGCTTGTGAGAGCTTAGAAGAAAGTGAGGAGCTCAGTAAAGAAAACCTTTGTCACTTGGAGAATACTTAAATTATCATAAACAGATTGGTAGAAATATGGACATTAAAAGAGACATTGGTGAGGGCTCAGAAGGAAATAAGGAACATGTTATCAGAAATTAGAGGAAAGGAAATCTTTATTAAATAGTGGCAGAAGGCTCAGCTGAATTGGTTCCTCCAAAGTCAAGAAAATAGAACTTTAAGTGATGAACTTAGATGTTTAGCTGAGGATATTTCTAAGCAAAGTGTTAAAGGAGTGGCCTTTTTTCTTACTGCTTATAGCAAAATGTAAGAGAAAAGAGGTAAACAGAAGGGAGAATTGTTAAGCTCAGAGGAATCAGGACTTGATGATTGGGAAAATTCTCACTCTGCAAAGATTGCAAAAGACACTAAAATTAGAAGACTCACTTTCAGGAAAACATGCTTGGAAAGAAAGCCAATTGCATGACTGAATAATGTTCTGCTAGTGCCTTGTAAGGATAAAAAGCTCAGAGCATTCAGTCACATAGAGGCTTCTGTGAAAACATCAAGCATGTGATTCATGAACTCCCTAAGCCATTTCAATAATGGGAAAAATGGAGATGGAATTATCCAAGAAAGATCTGTGAAACAGACTATTTTCTCATGGAACAAATTTCAGACACACATGAGAAAATCACAGAGTTCTTGGGATTATCAGTAGAAACACTGTCAATGTGGATGGAAATATAAAGGAAAAGAGTCAAATTCAAAAAGGTCAGGCTCCCCAAATTCCACCTTTAAGGGATGAGGTGACAACGATATTCAACTGGCAACCTGCGTAGCCCTTTATGAAAAAGAATTGATTCTGAAGTTACGGACCCAGCTCCTGAGGATACAGGGTTATTCACAGGCCTTTAAAATTTAATGGAGTTTGTCCAGGTGGATTTCTAAATTTCTTGAGACTGATAACTTTTTTCCCTTGCACTTTCTTCCTTTTTGAATCGAAACATTGGTAACTGCTATCTTTTATCTGTCCCACCACTTCACTTTGGGAGCATATAATTTGCTCTGTACTTTCATGGGCACAAAGAGGAACTTTGATCAAGGATAGATAATAAACAGATTCTTACCTCTAGCTAATTTCAGATCAGAAAGACTTTCATATTGAAATTAGGTGAGATTTTGGACTTGATGCTATAATGGATCGAGACTTTGGGGGACTTGGGTATCTACTGAATATTTTTTCCTATGGGAAGAAATATGAGTCTTTGGGGGCCTGTAGACAGACTGTGGCAGGCTAAATAGTGGTCGCCCTCAAACATCCATGTTCTAATCCTTGGAAACTGCACACAAGTTGCCTTAAATGGCAAAAGGGGCTTTTCAGATGTGACTAAGTTAAGGATCTTGAGATGAGGAGATTTTTCTAGCATAATATCAGAATCCTTGTGTAGAAGAAGGCCAGAGAGAGGGTCATTGTAAAAGATCAGATATGAGAAAAAAAGCAGAAGTCAGAGAAAGAAAGAAATTTGAAGATGCTCTATATTACTCTCTTTGAATATGGAGCAAGGGGCCAAAGAAAGCCAAGGGTTTCTGGGAACTATAAAAGGCAAAGAAATGGTTTTCTGCTATAACCTCCAGAAAGAATACAGCCCTGCCCATACCTTGACTCTAGAACTTTTGACCTCTAAGGCCACCATACAATAAATTCACATTGCTTCAAGCCATTAACTTTCTGGTAATTTGTTACAGCAGCTATAACCAATAGAAATAGCCTCTAACTTAATTTGATATAATAATTCTCTAAAAATCTACCATAAAAAGATTATATTTTCATATTTCAAGAGTTTCAGACTTAACATAGAAGAAAACGTGCTTGTTAAGACACAAAAAAATTAATTTTCAAAACTTAAAATCCTGAGGATATTTTTTTCCTGTTGACAGTCATTTTGTAGAAATGTAACAACTGTGACAACACAAAAATGGAACGCATCATCCAACAAGATGAATTGTGCCTTGTGAACTGAAAGAAAAGTAATTCAATAAATATTGCTCTTAAATAGTCAATCGTTTTTCCTACCTGTGCATTAGTGTCTGAAATTGAGCAAGGGATGGTTTATTTAGACTTTGAATCCATTACAGCAAATGAGGGCCCCCTTCACCAAGGCCCTCCCTCTTCAATTATCTCATCAACTTAATTTCAAAAATCATACAAATAGCTTTTAAAAGCCACTTCAAATCATATAGAGAGTAATGAGACAGGCTATGGTTCAGGAAATAATATATATTCAGTAATCAGTATTATAGCATGATTTATTCTCTTTTAAGGATTTTTCACTTCTTTGGATGATTAAGATGGAATCACAATAGAACCCTGAACATGTAGCGAGTACTGAAAAGCATCCCTTACCTGTGTAACCAGTGGCTCCAGCAGCCTTTCCACTGTTAGTGTCCGGATTTCCAAACTTTTGGGGTCCCATTTTAAAATGATAGGTGAAGTTGCCGAAGTCATGCTCCCTACGGAAACACACATTATCAGTTAGAAATAATGGTCTTGGAAGTTAAACTGTTCCTGCAGGGGTTCCAAATGAACAAATCATTGAAACTTCAACACATTTGAAGATTATGTGTTTGATCCAGTCTTGTCAGTTAGAGATAAGGAAACCAGAACCAGTGTGGTAGGAGGTGGAATGTTGGAATCAGGTTAAAAAATGAAAGTGTCTTGAGCATCTGTGTACATTGGACCAACTTTAGGGACCCAATTGTCACTGGACTGTTCCATTTACCCAGCATTTAGTCCACAGTCCTATCTGCTTTCTGGGAAAGACTTAGATCTTCCCATTATATAACTTATGGTGTTAAGGTAGAGAGTCAAACCAGGGAGCAATGAAGTCTCAGCATGATACACATATGATCAATGAATCCTGAGTGTGAGAAATGAAGAAAGGACATTGAAGTCAGTCTGGAGGGGACCAACCAAGACTACAGTGAAGCAAAGTAAATCCATTATTATCACCAAATTGCAGGACCCCATGTCATTAACAAAGACTGGATGTTTTCTTCATAAGTGACTACTGAGGTTATCAATTGCTTGGGACAACAGGGTTTCGTTCTCTTAAACAGCAAAGATATCTTGCAAATTCATTACAAAGGGCTCTGAAAATGAGCTTGTAGCTATTTACATATTTTCTGATTAGTCACTGCATTTACATTCTTGTCCCATAAAATTAGTATCTGATAAGGTTATTTATCTCACTCTCAAGTGCCCAAGTTTCACTGACAGGCACGCAGCAGGCTCTCACATATCAAGCACTAAATGTGGCCCTGGCCATACTGTATAATAAAGTATTCATTCTATCAGGGGTCTCTTTCTTGTCAAGAAATTGCTCAATATATTTTGAAATGTAACCACTGGTCAAGCAATCTTAGATTCCCAAAACTGGATCTAAATCATTTGCCTTAATTCCCCCATAAATCAAACTGTTTATGGTTATTCTATTCCTTTTTTTAATATTTATTTATTTATTTATTTTAGTTCTTGGCAGACACAACATCTTTGTTTGTATGTGGTGCTGAGGATCGAACCTGGGCTGCACGCATGCCAGGTGAGCGCGCTACCGCTTGAGCCACATCCCCAGCCCTCTATTCCTTTAAATCAATGTCTCTGTTCAATTCCATTTTTATAAATCAATGTAGATGATTATTTCTACTAGAGTTAGCACCACAAAGAAGGTCTATCACAATAAGCACTAGTAGCCAAATCCTTCTTCATTGGCCCTCCTATAGCTAAATCTTTAGGCAAAAATACCCAACCAAATTGCTTCAGGGGAAAAAAAAAAGAAGAAGAAGGTGAAGACACAGTGTGCTGGTATTTTAACTCTTTGAAATGCCACGTTTTAAATAAACTAAGCACAGCAATCCAACTATTCAGACTGATTTAGATTTGGTTTCCTTTACAACAACAATAGTTGGCACTAACATACTGCCTATCCTCCAAAAACCTAAAAACACTTTACACATTTCCCATTTGCACTAACAGCTTCCACAAAGCAGCTCTAACAGGCACAGAATTCTGCTGCTGGGCAGCACACCTTCTCATGCTGTGGCAGGATAAAGATGCCAGATGCTTCCTGCACACACTGGGATGTATTTTCATCCCCACTCATGTCAGACCCTATCTAAGTGATTTTGGCCCAGCATTTATGATGGTGATCACAAGTTTCTAGGGAAGTTCCCTAAGAATCTTCTTCAAACTCTGATGGAATAATGGGTGGCATAATTGTGACAATGAACAAGGAGATCCTTGGGAAAGATGAGTAACCAGTCATCATTTTAACATGAGGGTGGAAAGGACATGGTGGGGTTGTATAGAGAATGTCCATTAACATGGGCATACTAGTATATACAACAAGGAAGATAACAAGTCTTTTAGAGATTTTCCAGATACATAACTTTGCAAAACTGATACTCAGAAAATCCTGGAATGAGAACCAAAAATGCTGGCATAACTGCAACAGAAACACGAAGCTAGCATAATTCAAGCAAAAATGAGCAATATTCCCAAACAACAACAACAAAAAACCTTCAAGCCATCCATGAGCCTAAGGAGCAGCATTAGTCATAGCTTGAGTCCTAAAGGTCACAGAGGTCCCATAAATATAAAATTGAAAGAATAAGAACAAATCACTCAACTTAATTTGTTCCCTTGGGGACAAATCTTCTTAGTCATTTCTTAAGGCACAGGTAACATTCAATAGCAAAAAAAAGCATGAAAATTTACATAGAATGAATTTGTCAAAGGTGAAGATTTAGTCATAGAACTTTGAGTGCTACTTTCCCTAGTCATGCTTTTTTAAATATAGTTGGGACTAAAACCAGTTCCTCTGTCTCTACCCCATAATCTTTTCACCATTTGTGTTACTCCTACATTAACAAAGGCCAAAGTAGGAGCAGAAGTGGGCCACAAAATCTCTACTGCTAATCACAGAATGTTGATATCAAAGATTCCCATTGAACAGCCTCTGAGGAGCATCTTAGCTTTAACTCTATGCTAAGCTATTGAGCAGAGAAAGATAAGTAGCTTCCCTGGCTGCAGTGCATGAGCTGGTATAATCCTCACAATCTGCTGTTTCTAGAAGGAATGCGTCTGTCCTGCTATTTTGAGTACACTTGATTGCTTTCTGCCATATGTACTAGACTTTGTATTAGAAACATTTCCTCATCAAAGCCCTGGGCTAGTTAAAATTACATAAAAATAGAAAAAAATTATTCTATTCCAGGTTAGCAATCATAGCCATAGTCTTCCAGATTCTCCTATTGATCTTTGCCTCCAGAGTTCTAATAAAAACAAAAGAGTAGAAAAAAGAAAGGTCAGGCATTCTCTAGAGCAAAGAAGAGAGGCAACTATACTTAGTACATAGAACTGACAATTGGGCACATGGCCCCCAGGATAAGTACATGCAATGAAGCTGATTTCCTGAGATTTTCATCCCGTTGTACATTCAATATTTGTTAATTGTATAAAGGGCAAAGAAAACCTATAGGCTTTTAAGATAGATTGGGTGATTTTTTTCTAGTCTATAGTTATTCCTTTCCCATCCTAACTTCCATAAGGAAAGAATAATTCTCTGAGCCATTGACATTGAACAATGGAACATAAGAAAATATGATGTGAGTAGACACTGGGAATGTGCTTACTTAGCTGGGCTTGTGCTCTGTGCTACTACTTTCTGTCATGAGAATCATGTATAATTACTGGTTCAAAAAGAAAGAAAACACATGGAGCAAACCAGAATCTAAGATGCAGCTGGACCCAAACTTAGCTGTTCAGTAAACCCCAATCAAACCATTGATGCAAGATTAAGCAATTAATGCTAGTTGTTGCACATGGTGTATACTACCAAGATTTTGCTATGAACTGTTACTCAGCAACAGCTAGCTAACACAGTTGCATGAAGTATTATTTTTGTATGAACTTAAGCCCTATAGTTTTTCAGGTCTATCATATTGTCCAAATTACTTGCCCTAAATCCAAGATTCCTTGTGAAAAAATCAGGATGATACATATTTTATGGGGTTTTTATGAGTCTTACTTAATTTAGTAGATAGAAAGCATTCCAGTGTTTCTGAAAAATCTCAGTTATTTTTATTAATATTACTATTTTCCAAAATTTAAGTATATTTGACTCTATGTCTAGGGGAAACAACAAAGTACCAATTAGGCCCAGCTTTACACTCCTGTGTGTGGAACAAATTTATTCAACCAAGAAGGCAAGAGAATAAATCAAGTGTGTAGTAATGCCAGCCCTCATCTTTCTAAGGAGGGAATGATACATAGTCTCAATTTCATACTACACATCTATACAATGAATGCAGTCTGTTTTGTACACACACACACACACACACACACACACAAAGAATCTGCAGAAAGCAGGTAACTTTTTTTTCTTGTTGGTTTGGATTGGGAAAAAAAATCCCATTTTACTGCAGAGGGAGACTTAGAATATAGACTTAGCCTAGTGAAAGAGCAAAAAACAAGGATTGTGGATAACAAAACTCAACACAGTTGCCTTCTCCCATACATCACAGTTCTACAAGCACAAGAGAAAACTCTTAGAATTCATTCAATCTTTCAGAAGACTTTCTTCTTGGAAAGTATCAAATTGTGCATCCATAAAAGGTGATAACACAGCCCACTTGGTAATGTTTTTGATAATTTCAGACTCACTGTCTGGTGATAAGGAAGAGGGGTAGCCAGGATGCCAGTCTCCTATAATAACAAAGATAAAACATTCAAAAGGACAACTCAGAGTGAAATGAGCTCCCCTATTAGCAACCAAGATCCAAGTGCCTTCTTTTCTTGGACAGTGTCCTGACAAGTAAAAGCTGCTGAGGTCAAGTACCCCAAAGAACGCCCCCAAATGCCACATGTGTTAATGCCATGCATCATTCCCTGAAGATATACCACTTTCAAACCTCCTGGAAAATGTCTTCGGAGTCCTCTGTCTGCCCCCCTGACAGCTTTTTTGCTGCTGTGACTAAAGGACTTGAGCAGAACAGCTGTAGAGGAGGAAAAGTTTATTTGAGGGCTCTGGGTGTCAGAGGTCTTAGTCCATAGAATAGCAGTTAGAATCCTCTGGGCTCAAGGTGAGGCTAAAAGCGTGGAAAAGTGTGGCGGGAAAGTGTGGCACAAGGAAGCAGCTCACATGATGATAAGGAAGCAGAGGGAGAGACTGCAAGCACCCGATTCAAAATATAGACCCCCATAGCCACACCCCAAATGAACTCCTTCCTCCAGTCATACCCTACCTGCCTCCAGTTACTACCATAAGTTCATCCAGTCAGGGATTAATTTACTGAATAGTTTAAGGCTATAATACAATAATTTTTCTTCCCAAACCTTGCATCGTCTCACACTGTGAGCTCTTAGGGGATACCTCACATCTGAACCATAATACCTCCTGAGTTATCGCTCTTCCTCCTGTTGCTCTTTTGTAACCACTTGTCAGGGGTGCTTC